CCTAGTCGGCAGGGCAAGGACGGCGGGAGAGACTGCGCGCGCGCTGAGGCCGCGAGCGAGGTCGGGATGGACCAGCGCTCAACGCACGCGCGGAATTTCTCTGAACGCGCGAGAACTTTTGTGCAGATCATGCACCACTACTAGCTGTTTCTGGCTTCTCAGCACTTCCCGGGTTCCCCAGATGGGAGTTGCCGGCAGATCGCATTCACGCGCGAAACACCAACAAAACAAGAGTTCACCAACAGTGCAGCCTGTGTCCGTTCAGGACTTCATCGCCGGTCTCAGGGTGCCGCTAGAGAAGCCACTCATTCAGCCGCCACCGCGCCTGCGTGTCTCACGCGTACGGGAAGAGAACCTCGTGCCACGCCGCAGTGATAGGCTCACTGCCAAGTCGGTGTTCCGCGACCCGAAGCCAGAGAACAAGGCAAAGAGGGTCATGCTCAGCAAGTGGCGGCCGACGTCGAGCGCTCCGCGATCGTCTCCAGCGACGCCTGACACGTCCATCGCGGCACGCCTCCATGATACTTTCCAGGAGACACTATCTTCCTCCAAACAAGCTGCGATGCGGGAGCTCTTCCCCATGGCTGCTGCTCGCAAGAGGCGGGTGCGGACGCAGACGTCTTGAGCACGAGTCGCTCTTTGTCGTAAGTTCTTTGGTCGCATATTTAGTTTCTTAGTTAGTTATAACTACGTGTGTTCCACCGTCTAGTGGTGCCTTATGTTCGTGTTCAATCCCATTACTCATGGCATCTCGCCGTGATGTGATGATGGGACGTGTAAAACTTATAACTTCTTAATGAAACACGTGCCATGCACACTCTCGAAGAAAAAAAATAGCCATAGATAGACTATCATGTAGGGGTATATAACCGAGGCGTCACGCTATTGCTAACGAACGGCCATGAACAGTGTCTTGCATAGGAGACCTAAGGCTCCATTTGGCATAACCTTGGAGCTATTTGGAGCCATTTTGTGCTAAATGGAGTAAAATCATACAACTCCATGTATGGAGCGCCTTAAAACATGACAAAAGATTGGTGTATGGTAGAGCTGAAAATAGTGACTTTATCCAGCTTCATCTCGCTTTGGTGGGTCCTACATGAGATTTTATGAGAGCATGTTTTAAAGACTTCACATGTGGAGTTGTTTTACCAAACAGTGCACAAAACATTATAGCGAAACAGCTAACAGTGGTGCTTTCTACTCTGCACAAAAGTTCTCGCGCGTTCAGATAAATTCTGCGGAATGGCTTTACTAGCAAAGTGGAGCTATGCTACACGGGGTTTAGATTGGACGATTGGAATGTGAAGTTTTAAACTAGAACCACATTGCATGTACTTATATGCCAATTAATAATTGATTTCAATTAATTTTTTTGAGGGTTCAATAAACTTTATAGTAACATGTTATTTGTATTACTATATTTAGAAAAATAAAAATGTTCAAAAACATGCAGCGTAGCTTGTGTCGTCGATAAATGTATATAGTTTTTATTTTCCGAGAAACAACTATGACTAAATATATATTAAAAATATTAATATTTATGATACATAATTAGTATCATTGGAAAGATATTTGAATCTAGTTTTTTAATAAAATTATTTGGAAATAGAAATGTTGTACGTATTTTCTATAAATCAAGTTAAAGTTATCGACACGTAAATCGTGGTGACTAACATTTAGAGACGGAGTGAGTATGCACCATACTCAAGTTTACTTTGAAAGGTATAGCCGGTCTTATGGCCGACAAATTTGTCATTTTGTTGTTACTTTGATTGGTGAAGTTAAACAACGTCATCTCAGATGACGTTACTGCAGTATATATGATTTTGACTCGACACTACTTTAGCGCTGGCCATTTTTTCAAGCTCTACCCTTAGTAGCATGACTTGTCAACTATTAATAATCTTTAGCCCCGCGACCGCGATGTGTGTAGCCACTCCGGCAGCTCCCGCCACCTCCAACTGCTGGTTCACATCACCACTTGGCGAAATCTAATTTTGAGGAAAGTGAAATTTAAGCTTGAGGGCTTAATAAACTTTCAAATTGACACAACAGTGCTCAAACTTGGAAGATTATGATTTATAAATAGTATCTCGAACAGCTCACTTTCAACTTGAACGGTCCTTTCTCATAGATTGTATTGACGCTCTCCCGCCAGATATGCCACGGGGAGAAGGACCATGGGGCACACAACATTGTTCTGTTTAAAGATCCTCTACAATGACACTGCATGTATGGACCTCACAACCTAATCATGGGAGCCGCTTAATTGGCAACGAGATGAGGTCCCAATAGGCGATGTGGGGGACAACCCGTCAGCAACATGCTCTCTTGCCTCTTTACGAAGCTAGTTCCCATTGTACACGCTTCTGCACACTCTCCCGATTGGTGGTGGTCGCCGCTCCCTTGACCTACGAGCTCTCTGGTTGCCATCCTTAGCACCCTTTTCAATCATGTCAGTTCTATCATTATTGCAATTGTTGTTGTAGTTGAAGTTGAGTCTCGGGTGGCTTTTTGTCATTGGTGCCCACATCACCACCTTTAGGTTCCGCATGGTGTTGCACCCTAGATCTCCACTCTCGTCACGTGATTCTCTATTGCCATTCCCAAATGCCTCTCTAGCAGCTACCGACTTCAAAGGCAGGGTGGATGGCTACCTACCAGAAGTTGGTTCAACCAGATCTCGATATGTGGTTGGTCACCTATTAGTCGTAGCCATTGTGGATGCCACCGCCAACCTCAACCTCTGTGGATGTTGGGATGGATGACCATGTCATTATGAAGACTCCTCCGGGCACCTCCTTGTCCCCTTGTCATCTCTTTCAAAGGAGCGTCCTATTCCTAAGGTCCAATCGGTAATTGCAATGGAGGTAATTCACCGCCTAGATAAGACATGTGAGATGAGATTGATCTTTGATAATGATCTATTGTCGATGTTGCACTTTCTTGAGAAGGTGGTGAGGGAGTCATTGTTGTTGCTAGATGTGTGGCCTATAGAGATTTATTATTTGGGCTATTGTGCCCTTGTAATCTTGGTGAGTCAGAACACTTGAGGTCTTGGTGGCCTTCCGACAAGGGTCTTGGTGACCTTCCAATGTTGACCCTCCGAGTTTGTTGTGCAGTGGTGATGACTTGGTGAGAAAGAGGAGACCCCTTCCTTGGTGGAGAAGCTCTATAGTCGACGGCACCAAGATGACTAGAGGTGAACCTTGGTGGCTTGCGACACTTGTCTTGGTTGCACAAGCCTTTGTGTCAAACTCAACACCCTGATTGGGTGGAGGCTTAGTGACTTGGAACATACCTCAGTGGAGCTCCAGCATTCACTAAGGGATGTGTTTTGGGGAACTGCTACCACAAGATACATCCTCATCTCTAGAAGTTTGACCTCTCTTGACTTGCTCTTCACTTATTGCATTGTGTGTAACTTGTATAGTATTTATCTTTCCTACATTAGCATAGGGTAGTTGATATATTTGATCCTAGGTTGCAAAAGTCTTTATGGGTTGGTTAGGTAGAGCTCATTAGAAAAAAACTAAGGTGCACATTTAGTTTATGGTTTTTCTAGTATAGATCAAAAAAGTTCTTTATCTGGCTTTTTAGCGACCTAATTCATCCCTCCCCTTCTTTGGTCTCCGGGTCTAAGAACACTCAGTTCCATACACACATTTAAAGAGCATCAACTGTCGCATCATCAAAGATGATCAGTGACCATCAATGTAACACCACCGGCGCCAATCAGGCCAAATCTAGGGGTTTGGATAACTTTTGTCCACCATGAGAACAGAACTTAACGATCCAGTGACATAAATATGCAAACCGGAAACACAACCATCCCCAACAATCACATCAACTCTGCAAAAATATAAAAAACGACGTGAAGAATAGTGTCGGGTTGAATGTCTAGGTAGGCAATCGCACCAGAGTTCTCTGCAAGAAAGAAGACCTAGCGAGAAATTGACCAAGATGATGTCATTCGATAGCCCATCAGACATAATTTATTTAATCTAAATCCTAACTATTATAATTAGACTCGACGATGGAGGATCTCCGGATCCTTCTCATCATCGGTGAGGCCGCCGCACGAGGGGAACCAATGTTTATGGTGGTTCTAAAGATGACCTAGGGCAGCGTTCTTTAGAGGCCGTGGCAAAGAGAAAAAAATGACCGTCGCTGTGGCTCGGAGCCCTTGGCTCAATGTCATAGCACGAATTAAGAAGAGAGATAAATAAAGACGATAAACGTCCAAAGCTCTCTATTGTTTCTCCTCTCTGACCCCTAGCTCCTGATAATCCTTAATTGATAATAATCTGCTAAAAGGGGAAAAAAGAGAGAGGGACGCCTCGTAGGACAGTGGGATATAAGACTTTCGTCAGCGCTGGGCCGAGCTATGTGAAGCGTGGCAATCAATAATTAGAGTGCCCAAACGACTGCATGCACACTGCTCGCTCATTCAAAAAGCTCTCTGATGGATCCTATACTGATGGAGGCCGCCTCGTCATTGTACCCTTGGTTGCAGGAATCCATCAACAGAAACATAAATTATCTGCGACGAACAGCACTGCACCCGGACACTTATCATCTCGCGCTCTCCGACCCCACTGCACCGGCGGATCACGTCGGGACACGTCGCTTCTTCTCCCCGGGGCTGTAGGGCGCTACAGCCACCCACGAATCAAGCTCGGATCTGCCGCGCTCAATCAACTCAAAAGGCCCGGAGGGATAAAAAGTTCAGAAACACGATGCAGAAAACCAGATCGGAAAAGGTGGGACGAGAACGATGAACAGCTCGCAACCAACGTTGTTCGCTCCCTCCCCGCTCGTTTCGTATCGCCGCGTGGGGCCCCGGCCCGGCCCGCTGCCCTGTCCTGCTTCCCCCTATATATACGAGCCATGAAGCCTTCGCTCGCCACATGCACTCGAGCTCGAGCAGTGAGTGACCAGTGTGGTACTGGTAGAGCTTCGGGCCGGCTACGGGTACATTGCTCTGCTTCTTGGCAATGGTCGTCCTCGCCGCGAAGCCGCCGGCGCTCGACCAAATCTCCCTGCTTCGATCCCCCCAGCCCGGGGACGCCGCTTCCTTCTTCGGCGTGCCGGCCGTCGACCTGTCCAGCCCCGGCTCGGCTCTGGCCGTCGTGGACGCGTGCGAGCGGTTCGGTTTCTTCAAGGTCGTCAACCACGGCGTGCCAACGGGCGTCGTGGACCGGCTGGAGGCCGAGGCCGTCAGGTTCTTCGCGTCGCCGCAGCCGGACAAGGACGCGTGCGGCCCCGCCAACCCGCTCGGGTACGGGAACAAGCGCATCGGCCGCAATGGCGACATGGGGTGGCTCGAGTACCTCCTCCTCGCCCTCGATGGCGGCGGCCACGCCGCCTCGGTGGCCAAGGCCTCCCCTGTCCCGTCATCCTCGCTGCGGTGCGGTAACCAATCAATCAGCAGACAACTAGTGTCAGTGGAGGGCTGCGCGTGCGTGCGTTTCTAACGATGGGTAGGTACTGTGTGTGTGTGTCGCGCGCGTGCGTGCAGGGACGCGGTGAACCAGTACGTCGCCGCCGTGCGGGGCCTGGCGACGTCGGTGCTGGAGGCGGTGGTGGAGGGGCTCGGCGTGGCGCCGAGGGACGCGCTGAGCGCCATGGTGACGGATGCGGCGAGCGACCAGGTGTTCCGGATCAACCACTACCCGGCGTGCCCGCTGCTGCAGCGCCTGCCGGACTCGTGCGGCGTCACCGGCTTCGGCGAGCACACGGACCCGCAGCTGGTGTCCGTGCTGCGCTCCAACGGCACGGCCGGCCTGCAGGTCGCGCTCCACGACGACGACGGGCGGTGGGTGCCCGTGCCGCCCGACCGCGACGCCTTCTTCGTCATCGTCGGCGACTCGCTGCAGGTAACCACCGTGCCTGCCAAGACGTACAGACCAACACCCGCGCCATGAACTCATGGCATGCACGGGGGGGTCGTCGCGTCGTCGTCGTACGCAACGCACGCACGCCGGCCGCAGGCAATGGATTGACCGATGCATGTGTACGTGGTGCGACAGGTGCTGACGAATGGGAGGCTGAAAAGTGTGCGGCACCGGGTGGTGGCCAACAGCCTGAAGCCGCGGGTGTCCATGATCTACTTCGCGGGACCGGCGCCGGCGCAGCGGATGGCGCCATTGCCGCAGCTGCTGGGGCACGGCGAGCAGAGCTTGTACAGGGACTTCACATGGGGCGACTACAAGAAGGCTGCCTACCGATCGCGCCTCGGAGACAACCGCCTGGACCCCTTCCGCGTCCTCCAGTGATAGTCGCCCACACCGTTGTCGAGAGATGGTTGGTTCGTGCACGCAGATGCTTCTGCCATGGACCCCAACAGCCTCCCCCCCCCAGGAGCTAGCACTGATTGCTTCATGGACCAGGTGTGCTCTGTTCTGTTGGAACAAGGGCTAGCCGGACGTACGGCTTGCTATGTAGTAGTAGGTGGGTAGGGTTGGATACGGCCACACGGGGACAGGTGTGCTCTGTTCTGTTGGATTCTTATTCCTCTTCCATGCATGCCTTGTGGTGCCAATACCAACTGTACAGTTGCTGTGGTACTAGCTAGCTAGAGAGAGCTTTGTTGTATTGGCTCTCTGGGCTTGATGCTGTGTCAGTGTTATGAGTGCTTTCTATATATGGTATGCGATCTTTTCACTGTTTCTTGTACTGACGAAATGAATGTCTGAATTGAGGAAAGGATGGGGGAGTACTACGTTTGGTTTGGGACAAATTTGGTAATAGAGGCAGAGAGCTATCCAAATATAGCAACGACGCATGTTCTCTGCCCAAATATAGCAAGGGCGGAGGATTTGTTTGTCCATCTTTGTTGAAGCGTTCTTGTGTTCAGTCCCTTTTGTGTTTCCATTTATAGTTGTCTGGCCATGTGTGATTCAGTGCACCGATGGGCTTCATTTTAGGTCGGCTCCTTCTCCCAATCACTATGGGCTTCATTTTAGGTCGGCTCCTTCTCCCAATCACTATCTCCCAATCACTATGGATCTGTTTGGTTGCCTGCATAACCTCTTATCTAGGTCCTCGTGGTGTAGTCTATCCCTGTTTGGTTATCTGCATAGGCTCATATGCAGGCTGGCAGGGGCGGCTGCAGCAGGCGGCGGTGAGCGGGGCGGCGGTATGCACGGTGAGGAGGCGGCGGCGCCTGAGGAAGAGAAAAGAATAAAAGAGTTTAACCCTAAACTTGTTTGCCTTTCATTGATAATTCTCCCTCATATATATAAGGGGGTTTACAATATGCTAATGGGCCTGGTCTCAACTGAGCCCATAACCCTTCCCTACTTATTATAATCAAATTCTATCACAACTAGGCCTTGACCCCTCCCTATTTAATTATTTCATTAGCCACTTTGGCGTCGGTCTCCTGCTATATGTCTTACCACTGACCATGACAAGTTTAGAACCATTTGTGATAATGGTAACTTCTTCGGATTAATAGATAATAATCTGTTGGCTACGGCTAACCGACTTGCGGTTTGCTGAAACAAACAAACACCGTGTGATTATCTTCATTACAGCATACATTACGAGCTTTGAACTTAGAAGTACAGGACCACTCAGGCACACAGCAATGTTCTTCTTCGCATAATTTAGCAGTAGAACTAAAATTGGCAATCAGTAAGCCGTAACACAGGAAGACCCGACAGACACAACACGGAGCTTATTTTGGGTTTATACCATCTTGGCTAATTAATACTTATGCATACCTTAGTAAGACAACATTGTTAGGTTGATCTCCACCAATTTGGCCCAACAGCTAATTGGGCCTTGACTGGTGGCTCGATTGGGGGCGGGCGGCCGCCTCTCTGGCTGGTGGGCCCCGTTGCAAGACTATGTAAAGGAGGTGAAATTTGGGGCTGAGACAAGAGGTTCACTGCAGGCCTTGACTCCTCAGGAAGAAAAGCCCTAATCCAAAGAGTTTAACCTAAACTTCATCGTCACCGAGATGGGGCCGCTCTGCTACTTCATCGCTAATGCCATGGCCACGACTGGAGACTCGAGATGAGATACATCATCATCAAGTTCTATATCTAAGTCAAGTTTACCCACTGATCTGCACCTAGAGGTACTACAAATTCTAAGATTAGTATCATAGCCAAGGTTTTCTTCTAGTGTTGAGATCTAGTTTGGGGTAGATTTAGAACGAGAAAGGAAAGGAAGGGGATTCTCCTACCAGGGAACCGCACACACCGTTACCACCGCCGCGCGGGAAGCCACCCCGAGCCACCGCGGGCGCGAGGAGCAACCCTAACCCTAACCCTAACCCTAGAAGGATGGACGGATAAGTGAGGGACCTACCGGTTTCTCGCCGCCGTCACCACCGCCGTTGCGCGGGAAGAGACCCACGACGCTGGGTCACTGGCGCACGAGCTCAGGGAGCCGACATGAGGCCACTCAATGGCGGGTGCGCTCACCCACTAGGAGCACGCGCTCCGGTGAGGGGGCCCATGGCGGCGCCGCACTCCTCCTCCGACTGCCTTGTGCGGCCGCTTCGGACGCCGCTGGTAGAGAGAGAAGAGAAGGGGAGAGAAAGAAACAAATGGAAAGATCTAGGGTTTAGGGCGATCCTACCGCAGCGCGTGTTGGGTATTAGGGCACCATCGCCTAGGCCACTCGATGGTGGTGCACTTTGCCTAGGGTAAGCGCACGCCGGCGAGGGGACCGGCGGCGGCGCCGCTACGCTGCTCTCTTTCTCTTCTGGCTATGGCGCTGCGGCGAAGAGAGAGAAGAGGGCGGAAGAAATGATGCTAGGGTTAGGGTAGAGCCGGCCACGGTGAGTTCTTATTCCGCCCGAGATCGCCGCTCGACCGTTGATCAGGATGGACGGCTCAGATCATTCGGACTGAAATCAGCCCATTCGGGTGAGTGAATTCTCGGCCCGGGCCCAGGTTGCGGCCTGGGCGCGGGGAGAGAGCGCGGGCGCCGTACTGAGCCGCCGCTGGGCCGCGCGCTGCTGCTGCAAAGTGGGATGCTATAGGGTCGAGATGGCAGACTAGAGGGGGGTGAACTTGTTTGCATATCAGTCATCTAGTGCCATTTAAGCGATCTAACTTTGCGATGTTGCTAGGATCAAGTGGTATGGTAAATTGAGTGACTAATCCTTTGATAAATGTTTATGAAAATGCTAACACACTTGCACTTAGTGGTGTACATTTGGTGGTGTTGGCACATTTGCAAAGGGGAAGAAGTTGGAGTAGTTGTGGATCAACTTAGAGAAGAGAAAAATGTTTTTCGGTACTCCAAACTATAGGATGGTCCTTGAATTGGAATACTGTTTTAATCCATTGTGATTTGGATCAAGTATGTACGTGGGATGTGTAGACCTCTGAGTAAGCTTTCCAAAAATGTCCAAGATCATCGAAATCAGAGTTCGGAGCTAAGAGTTATAGCCGTTTTAGCGTTGAAAGGTCTATGACCGGACTCTGCGACCTGCGCGTCCGGTCAGCACTTGCAAGTCCGGTCACAGAGTCCGGCCAGTGTTTTTAACACGTCCAGGAGCGACCGAACGCACGGAGAGTCCGGTCAGTGATGACCTGGCGCGTCCGGTCATCAAAAGAGCTCTCTAGAAGTGATCGGACGCTGATAGAGTCGAGTTCGGTCATAGGATAAAGGTGAGTCTGGTCAATTGTGTAGAAATGCGTTGGTAACCGAACTCGGACTCGGCGCGTCCGGTCGTTGGACCTAGGCACGTTCGGTCAAGAGTATGCGCGTGCGGGAGCTAGCTGTTGAAGCCCAACGGTCGGCTTCGAAAGGAGGGGACGTGTGGCATCATCCTAGCGACCGGACTCTATGACCTGTGAGTCCAGTCTGTTCGAAAAGTGCCCAGTGAAATGGTACAACGGCTCTATTTTCTTGGGGGTTCTAAAACCAAGCATTGGCCGGCCTTGGGCTGGTTGCCGAGCACCCTTGAGCCTTGGTGGCTTGTGTAAGTGTGCGTAGGAGCCCTCTAACTCACTTGAGCTTGATAGTGTTCATCCGATCGAGTGAGTGAAAGATTCTAGTGCGATTTCATCGTGAGGTTGCATCGAGTGGCACTAGGTGATCGAGTTGTAAGTCGGTGGTGCTTGTTACTCTTGGAGGTTGCCATCTCCTAGACGGCTTGGTGGTGGTGTCCGTTGAAGCATGCAAAGAAGATTGTGTGGTGCTCCGGAGAAGTGATTGTGAGGGGGATTGTGCTCCCCCCGTGGGAGCCGCGAAGAGCAACTCTAGTAGAGCGAGACCCGAAGGGCGACAAGTGGTTCGGCCGGGTCAAGTGCTAGAGCTTGTTGTAAGAACTCCACGTGGGAGAGTGTGACTTGCGGGTCACCACTAGCAAGAGGACCAACGGGAACCTTGGAGCTTGTCTCAACGGGGACTAGTGTGTTGGCAAGCATGTGAACTTTGGGATAAAAATCATCGTGTCATCCTTGTATTCCTGTTGGTTTGCATCCTCGTTACACAAGCTTTTTACTTCATTTACATTGTGATTGTGTAGTTGCTCTTTGTAATTAGTTAGCTTATGTAGCTTGCTAGTTACCTTCTTGCTTGTGTAGCCTAGAAGTAGCTCTCTTGCGTGACTAATTCGGTTTGAGTAACCTTGTTAGTCACATTGCTTAGTTTGTGTAGCTAAGAAATTTGCACTCTATAATTTAGCTTGTGTAGCCTTGTGATTGAGCATTGCTAATGAGCTTAGGTGGCTTTGTGCTTTTGTTTACTATCATGTGTATGAGCTCCCTCGTTGCTTGAAGTACTAGTGACATAGGTTTGTGTGACCTTGCTTCTAAAATTGGTTAGGTGAGCTCTAACTAGCCCGGCACCTTAGTTGTCTAATTAGTATCTTTATAAGGTGCTTGTGAACATCGATAGAGGGGTGTAGTCTTGGCTAGACCGATTGTTTTAATTCCGCATTTGTTTCGGTTAGCCGACACGATTAAATTTAGAAAGGACTATTCACCCCCTCTAGTCCATCATCTCGACCCTACAGCTGCGCACTGCTGCTGCGGACTGGGCCGTGTACTATTTCGCCAGGTCGGGCCGAATGAATAGTAAACGCAGAGTTTTTGTTCTATTATTTTCAAATGCACATTTTTTATGTTTTTATCTAATTTAAATCTTCGTCAAAATTTGAATCAACGGGGTAATTTTTTCAGAGAGTAGATGAGTACAGTAAAATGATTCTAAAAAGTAGATAAATTAGTTTTTCATGTTTTCGCTGCAAAGTTTAATATTGATAATCTTCCAATTAAATTCGAACCAAAGGAAGAATTTAATTTGA